ATATGCAGAATCTATCTGAATAAATGAGCCCCTTACTTAACTAGGAACGTACTGTATATTCCATCTGCAGACTGAATGATTGCTCCATTTCAAGCCTCCTGACTCCCATGGAGCCATCTGGTACATGCTAGTTTGTACGAATAGGTGAGGATTCCTGCTAACACAACAGCCTTCAACTAGGCAGAGTGCTGATATTTAGCACTCTGTTACACATCTGCGCACAAAGCTGTAACAAAAACCCCAACACTTTCCTTGTTTAATATTTAAATTAACCTTCCTTTTTCTCCTGAAAAGCCAGTCGGGACAGGAACAATTAATGCAATTACATCAGAAAATGGGTTGAGCTATTAATACACCCAACTAAGCAGAGATTTCATGTTAGGTGGCGTTCTGAATTTTTTTCACCCATTGCTTGCTTAGGGCTGAGTGGGGAGGAGGGTAGGAGAGGGGGAGAACATATGTGTCATATAGATATTTTTATATCACTTTGAGATATTGTCAGAAAATTAAGCAAAAGGATATAATTCATGTCTGTAAGCAGCAGCGGGCTGGTCATAAGACTTATTGATAGGTATGTAAAGCTTGCCAGTTTTGACCACTCTGCTATGTCTGAGGTAGAATCTTAGAGTCAGCTAGGTCAGAAAAGACCTTTAAGATCATCAAGTCCAGCCATTACCCAGGACTGCCAATTCCACCACTAACCCATGTCACTGAGGGCCTCATCTACATGGTTTGTGAACACTTCCGAGGGACGGTGATTTCACCACTTCCCTGGGCAGCCTGTTCCAGTGCCTGAGCAGCCTCTCTATGAAGAAATTGTTCCTAATAGCCAATCTAAACCTCCCTGGCATAGCTTGAGGTCGTTAACTTTTGTCCTATTGCTTGTTACTTGGGAGAAGAGACCAACCCCCACCTCACTACAACCTCCTTTCTGGTAGTTGTAGAGAGTGATAAGATCCCCCCGGAGCCTTCTCTTCTCCAGACTAAACAATCCCAGTTCCCTCATGTCCATATGGGATTAGCAGTCTGTGGCACAGCACCACTAAGAAGATGTCTTGATGCTAGATTAATTGCTTTAAAGGTTTTCAATGGGCAGAACAAGGTGAATAGGGGAAAAAGGGAAGTGAGCTAAAACACAAAGGCTGCCTATGTATTTGCACTGTTTTATGCTCTGGCACTCAGATCGACAGATATATTTGAGGCAACTACCATATAGCCACAGATACCTATGTGCTCTTTGGCAAATTAAAAGAATAAAGCAATGTTAGAGCTCCCTTTCCCCTCAGACACTGCACAGGAGCGTAGAGGAAAAGGAAGTCAGAACTTTCCAGCTGCTGTGTGGGGTGTGCTGCTGCCCTGGGATGGACAAGCGTGGCCCTAGTTCCTCTGAATCCTCCAAGGACCTCAGGTCAGAAAATCCCACTAGGTCTTGCTCTCCCCAGATGTTTTGCGGAGTATAGGTGACTTAGGACTTCCACTTAGTTCATAACGAGACTTGCATCTGTAGCAGGCATCTGTCAGGGTTTCATTTGATTAATTTATTTATTTCTGCAACAGAAATTATGGTAGATCTTTCCAATAAAAATTGAAAGTCATTCAAGTCATGAATGACTTGAATGTCATTCAAGCTAACTCTAGTTTCTGATGCATCCTGACTGGATGGGAGTCAGGGTGAATGGTGCAAAGACTTGTGTTTGCTCATAATGTGGTGGTAGATGGTTTATGAGTGCAGGGTTGGATCTGTGCAGTTTTGCAGTTCACTTTGTGTCAGTACAGTCTCACTTTGTTTTAGTAAATGTTGCCCCTCAGACATGGGATAGCTTACAAACTGGGATCTGTGCTCACATGTCTGTTGCAAAATACAGCCTGCTAAAAACAGCTGTAAGGAGCTCCCTTTGTCTGGTTGGGGTTCTTCACTTAAGTGCTTGTGGTGCCTGATTAAATTAGTAATCAGAGATATAGTCATGCTATTTTGTGACTCTGAGAGCCTTGATTGTGGATTATATTTACACACTGCAATTTCTTTCTAAATGGAGCTCTTTGTATTCAAGGACTTTAAGAGTCTTTCAGCCTGCGATAAAATCCAGTTTGCCACGTAGACCAGTTCTTGCATTGGTGCCAAACACTTGGTCAGGCATGCTGTGTAGAACAGTTTTTCGTTTGCACAATGAATATGGCTATGTAAGAGTTCATGTGTGGTGCAGTGGTTTTGCTGACCCTTTATGCTGAAAAACTGCATGGTGGCAGTCTGGCAGGTGCATTGAATGCCTTCATGTTGTGTTGCCTCAAAATGACAGTTTTGTTTCTTGTCAAAATGGGATAGCTTGAAACAAAGCCACATAAATGGTAACAGACTTTGTGGTATTTAAAATGCCTGCACAGATCCAAACCCTGTGGCCTGTCTTGGTTAAAAGAATGGGGCTGGAATGTCAAGCATATTTGCAGCATATTTTGTTGTGTTTAAAACACATGATATATGCTAAAACAGTGACTCTGTCCCATGCATGTAGGTAGCAGAGGTAGGCAGGAGACATGACTGCTGAGTTTTGAGGCTCCAGAGCCCTTCAGGTAAGTACTCTAGTGGAACCCTTTAGTTGGAAGCCCCTGTTTTAAGTTTCTTCTTGTCCTGTTCAGAACAGGGATACAAACCTGATCTTCATCAGTCCAGCTGCATTCACTTGCAAAAGAGTGCAGGGAAAATGAGAAGGACTCGGCTCACCATGACAAGGTGCTCCAAATTGAGGTAAACCTTGGGCCAGGCTGTGCTCTGAATCATCTCAGAGTGGGCTCCAGTCCCTTAGGCCTTTCTCTAGGCATAGCCAGAATTTTCATCATGGGTTGGAGGAAGCTTTCCCAGGAAGGATTTTCTGTTTATTTTGCTTTGTTTTGCCTTTTTTTTTTTTCCTTTTAGAAATGGATGGGTTCTTATGAAAAAATCTTACTTCCTTCTGTGGTGATATTTTATAAAGAATTCCTGGCCAACTTTAGTGGGCACTGATCCTGGTTTTTTTTTAGATCACTTTTACTGCAGAACAATTTATTTGAATACCGTACCTTGAAACCAACATGAAGTTCCTGTTTGTAGATGTATCAGGGGAACTTAAAACATGTAATTCTATTCCTTGCTTTGCTATCTTTGTGCAGCAGCACTTCAAATCTCTGTGCCTAAACTTCCCTTCACCCATTACTCATCTTTTCCATAAAAATCCTTTGGAAGTAGATTTTTATTACTTCGTTGTGCTAGAAAATGGAACTCTGATCTCACTTGGGTCTCTGTATTGTTGTAATATAGATAACATTCTCTTTAATGGAGTACCTCTAGTGATTATTTTGAGGTATCCTACCAGCTACAGTAGCCATTAAGCCCATTAGAATGGTGAAGCCTTTGGATGAATTAACAGACCAGATGAACAGATACAACTCACGCACTTATGACAAAATCCAATCTTTCCAGAAAATTAGAGTACCATCTTGCAGATTGTTGGAATGATGCTGTCTACCAGCATTTTCCTTCTGCTGCAAATCACTCCCCGGTGAACAGAAGAGTCCTACAGGATAGCAAATGGATCAGGAATGCCCCCAGAGTGAACCCTCTTTGAGTTCAGGGGGTTTCTGTTCAAACAGCTGGAACTGCGTTTGCCTCTTGTGTTTTCTTCCAACGTAGATGTGGTTACAAGCGTGTTGAAGCAACCTGCCAGGAAAAAAGAAGCCTGAACTGCTGGGAAAAAAAAAAACAAACCACCCTTGCTTGATAACAGCTATACTCACTGTAACATCATGCCTCTAAAGGGGCTCCTATCTCCATCCCTGGCCAGCAGTGCATGCTTGGTGAGGGGCATAAAACGCGTGACATGAGTATGGTGATACATGTTTGAGCACTTTCTTGTGGCTTGATGGCTCTTGTCATGGCTCAAGCTGGTGCAGAAACCTGCCAGCATGAAGGCAACCATTGATGGGATGAGTACCTCCAGAGCCAAGACTAAGCAGATGGAAGGGAGGGCAAGGAGGGACACCCAAAGATGGAGAATAAGGGGTGTCCCCCCCGGGCAGGGTGCAGCTTGCCTAAGGCATTATTTAGCAGCTGGCTCCGTCTAATGCAAAGTGCTGTCTCCAGTACAGTCGTGTCTGATCACAGACAAACCTTCATTCCTCAGTAGCTGTTTAAAAACACTGGTTATCATTTGTGGTTTTGCTATGGATTCTTTTCTGTAAGTGGAGTTTAGTTATCTTGCCCTTCTTAGGAGAAATACAACTGTTTCAGGATTTGGTCTCCATTAGGTGTTTGATTTGGGCTCTCCCTGAGCTTGGCTCATTATTCCCTGAATTGCAAGGCCTGCAGGCTGCCCTCCAGCCTAATTTAGGTACAGAAAAGTGTGGCACATAGGTGTGATCCCACCCAGTCCTTTTCTTGGTACTCACAGCCTGTTCCCAGGTGTTCGGTGTTAATGGCAAGTCATAAAATCCTAGCCCAGGCTTCCTCCTGAGCCTGAGTGCCTCCTCTGGCAGCCTGCTGTTCTTGCTCCAGGCTCCTCCACTTCATGCATTCAGATGCTTGTATTTTCTGTGGCTGGATGTAATGGGACTCACCTGGTTCAACTGTCAAACTAAGTCAGCAAAATAATCTCGAATCTCTGTGAAGATTTCTCCTATTCTACTGCAATGACTGGATTAGTGCTCTTCTCCCCAATATATTAACATCTCTTCCCAATGTATTAACATCTCCCCTGCCACAAGAGAACCCAAAGCCCTCCAAACCATCAGTGCAGGAACTAAAACTGTCACAGTCATTGCAGTTTCCATAGGTAGCATCCTTTTTTTGGTTAATGAGCTTTTAACAGGCCTTATTATTATAGCAGTAGAACTGCTTGGTGGCTTGCATGGCACAACTAAAATGGGACTAAAATTGTGACTACAAAAGTTAAAAGGAATACAGTTACTGGGTGTTTGTTAATTCCATTTTGCAGGAAGATAGCAGCTGCTTTTCTTTTCTTTTTTAACAGATGGAGTGATTTCTCATGTAGTGTTACAGTAATGACCAATGTGACACAGAAGGAAAATTCTGTGACAATATGGTGAGCAAGATCTTATTGACAGCTCCACTTGGTTTTAATTTGTAAGCTCTATATTGTTGCTCTATTCTTTTTATCTTCCTCCCCACCTCCCAAATGCTGCCTGTCTTTTCTGCCATACAGAATTATATTTCAAGTTGAATGAAACAATTTAATTTTAAGGACTCTTAACTAAAAGCTGTTCAAATTCTTTACCAGAACTTACACCACATCATAAGTTAAAAAAAAAATAAAAATCATTATGAAGTGATGGTGTGAAAATTATCCCCTATGTAAGGCCTGTGTTGAGACTGCTGCTTTGATTTATCCTGTAGCAGCTGATGCCCTCTCAAGGAAGGGACTTACCCACTTTGCCCAAGGCACCTTAGCCCTAGCAGGCCAAGAGTGTGGACCATGAATGACCAGGGAGGAGTGCTTGTACCCTGCTTTATGACTAAACAGTGTGCACGGGCTGTAAATAACCCAAGGGACTTCATTATCAACTAAAATCCCTGACTGCTACCATGAGTAGAGGTGTTCAGAGCAAATTCCACCATCCATTTATTTGTAGAAGAGCTGAAGATCTAGCTGAAGACCACCACTCACAGCCTCTCCTTTGCAGGTGATGGTTATCTCTGTGTCACTAGGTGCATTTAGTATGTGTATAGGGTAAAAAGCTCTCAGTGTCCTCATAGCTTCTCAGTAATCTCTGTGGGGAATAAGTCACAAGGCTCTACCTTTGAATCTTAAATTTGAAACTTGAAAACTAAAACAAAAAGTGATCGTTTGTTAGCTTGATGCTAACAAAGTAAAAAATACACCAGAAATTATTTATGAAAGAAACATTACAAAATAACCAACATGGTATTTATCTCCGAATCATTAGGAAGACAGATAGAACAATCCAGTGGATTCAGCCACAGGATAAAGCAAAACTGCAGAGACTAGTAGGTGGAGAGGTAGAGCTTGCATATGCTGAAATCCTAGCCTTCTCCACTCCTGTCTGAGAGGTCTTGAGTCATCCTTGCTCCTGAGCAGTGTGGACAGGCAAATTCTGCTCTTGGAAACAATTTCCTAAATAGTAGTTCCAAGGGTTGGTTTTCATGCTTGCTACCAAATGCCAGTGGCTCTTACAGTCCTGTGACACACCATGTATGGTGCTAACACAGGCATCTCTTGATAACAGGGATAAATAACACTAAGAGAGACATTTTCCTTTACAGTCCATGAATGAGACTTTTTGTGGGTACTGCACACAAAAATGACATTGCTTTAATCTCTGTAGCAGATTTGTCTCTAATTTCCAAAATTGTTGGGAACTTGTAATATTGTTTTTCAGAAGGCTTATTAGAATAGGGGGAGATAAGACTGATTCTGTATTTTGCATTAACTGCCTGTTAAAATTTCTCCAAGAGAAGGGCTACGAGCGTGCTGCTCAGTGACTAATAAATTTGATTCATCCTCACTCCCCACAGGGTTATCCTCCTTCTTACTAATGTTTGACATTTTATGTTTTAATTAAAATAACCCTTCAAGCAGCAAACCACTAAGAGAATGACAGATATTCTTACTGCAACAAGATAAAAGCAAAAGGGCATTCACTAACCAGATATTCAATAGTGGCTCTCACTCTGTTGTGGCCACCTAATGTTTGTGTGCATGTGTGAGACAAGGCAACACTTATCTTAATATCAAGGGTATTTCCTGTGTCCCGGGATGCTATCATTTAATGTCTGCATTTCAGTAGGAGCAACAGGGACTCGGGAGTACTGATGCTGACTTGATGCTGGCGTGATGTATATATGAAGTTACGTAGCCTAAGAGAAGGGAAGGAGGGTGAAGAATAGCAAAGTAATTCTAAGCTGTGAAAACAATTACAGTGAAAATACTGTAAATAGTGTGGCAGCTGGCTGCTGGCTGCCCCAGCCATCACTGAGGGGCTGGTTATATGGGACCTCCCTGTGTAGAGGAGCAGAATGAGAAGGACTGTGGATAAACCTGTTGGACAGGTGTAGGCAGGGTGTTCATCTAATGGTCTGTCCTAGTAAACATGTTAAGATATCATCACAAGAAGCTTAAGTGCAGGCAACAAAGCTGGTGTAAGTGAAAACATGGAGGAGATATTTAGTGGGAGATGAAGCAAGAGGCTGGAGTGCCTGGGTGAAGGTGTGAGGCATGTGTAGCTGGAGACTGGCATTAACAAGTGCTTAGAAGGAAGAGGAGGTGAAGCCACCAGAAAGGATGGATATCCTTTGCAAAGGTGAATCTGAATCTGTAGGCCTGGAGGAGGCGAGTGACAAAGGCCTGGAAAAATGCTTTGATTATTTGAACAGAAAGAAGGTAAACCTGAAAATATAGCAACGGAAATTTATTTTAACTGATCTATACATAAGGCAGAGATAATCCATGGGAGATTCTCTCTAGGGTACAGAGCTTGATGATAACAAGATGGTGCAATCAAAGGGACAAGGATGAGTGCAGGCAGGACAGAACAGTGCTGTAAATACTTTGAGGAATTGGTGTCTGACTCTGTAGGGGGAGACAGAGGAGGGAAAGACATCAATCCAGTGGCTTAGGAGTGGCATCCAATCCAGAATGGGCCCATCTGCTTATGAATGTTATTTACCTTCAGCAGAGAGCTCTGGTGAGACTTGTCCAGGTGCTCATGGTAAGCTGGTATTTTTTAGATTGCAGTGACTAGACATGTGATATGACAAATGCTATCTTTCCTCTCCTCAAGCAGTCTAAGAGCATGTGGCTATGTTGTGAGAGGGCAGTGTCACAGCCTACACTTTAGTCATTCTAAAATGCAGCATCTTCTCAGTTCTCACTGACCTCCCTTCCTCCATCTCAAACCCAGCAACAAAAAATATCTTTCTCATACATACTGAGTCTGCTGGTATTGTAAGTTTTATTTTGAATCTCTTTAGAAAAGAAAGCATGCAGGAAAAACTTGTAAAATCCTGCAAGTTACTGGCTTGTGTGGGCCTTTCTGAATTATGATATGAACCCCAAAGGAATAGCGGAGAAATGACAACTCCCTTTCATGTGATATTCTGGCTGCCCTTAGGAGATGAACAGTGAAATATGTGACTTCTGAAGAGAAACATACCTAATAGAGAGGAAGAAGGTTAGATATATGAATATATAGGGAAAGAGAAAGCTGTAACACAGAGAGCAAGGTTTTACATTCACAGCTCATTTCTCCTCGTTTCTGGAAAAGTCAGAAAAATGTCATAGTTCCACTTAAGCAGCTTAAATGATGCTCATTTCAGCATTGCCAAAAACACACAATCAAGTGGGACTAACTGGTCTCCTCTAACTCCAGGAAGAGACCTGGTTTTGGCTTGCTGGAATAGCTGGTAGATAGCAAAAACCCTTTGGCATGACCTCTTGGAAATAACAGCTCAGCAAATAGAAGTTGTTATAAGAAATCATTTCTGTGTCTCCCTGTGACTTGGTCCTTAGGTGGGAATTTAGAAAAAATGGTAGAGCTGTCTCCTCTCATCTGGATGCCTCAGTTTTGCATGGAGGTGGTGCTTGTCAACCCTGGTAGAACTACATGGACTTCCTAAGGGCCATCTGTGGGCACCTTCATGCGGTTATGATGGAAGGGATCCTGGCTGTTTTCAGACCCAAGTTTCTTTCAAAATTGCAAGGGCATGTGAATGCTTTGCTGGGCTCTGTGAGTGCATGTACATATGTGGAATAGGAAGTACTCACTATATCTCAGGAAAACAGGTACAACTCTCTACAGATTCCTTCCCTCTGTCAGCTGTTCCTCAGATATGTTGAGTCATAAGTTAGTCTACACAGGCATGTGAAAGGAAAGAAATACAAGCTAGCTAAGTGATCTGAATTTTAAGTGGATTGGTTAAATTGCATTAAGTCCCTGTGTAGATGTCCTTGTTCAGAATTAAGGTAAAGAAAGATAAGTCTCATAAAGGCCAAGCTAATTCTGAAGGAGAATACGTATGTAGAGATTTAATGCATTTTTAACTAATCCATTTTAACAGTTAATTCAGATTAACTGTACGCAGTATTCCTCTCTGGGAAAGACCTTCAAGGGAAAAAGACATGGAAAAACACCAGGCTCAGAGTGCAGTGTTTTCATAAACATCCACCACAGTCAATTACAAAGCAGATAATTACTGCCACAAGGCTCCTGAATGGCTGCATGCAGACCTACTCGTGTTGGTGCTGTCAGAGGGGGCAGTGGTCCTGGGAAGGACTTGCCAAGAGCATCCTTGCTTCCAGAAGGGTGCTTTGGGAAATGGCGCAGTGTGCTGGTAAGGCCTTGGCTAACCTGCTGCTATGAGGAATTTTGATGGTTAATGAGGCATCTGTGGTAACAAAATGCATCCTCTTCACAACTGTACCTGTGCCTGCTCGTTGTTCGTGTGCAAGAATGTGGTGTGAATCTTAATGGTTTCCCTCCTACCTGGAGTGATGTATTCTTGAGCCAAATCCTGTCTTCACTCCTGTTGTGTAAACCAAACATTGCTTAGCCCTGTGCAGCCTCTTCTTTATTTTAAAAAGTCAAAATCTGGAGTTTAAGCTTTATTATTATTTTTAAAATATATTGTGAACAATAACTTAAAGAGAAATGGGAGATTATGAATAAATAATAAGGTGCATAGGTGTACAGGGAAAATACAGCAGTCCATAAATATAGTTAAGAACTCAGTTGTACAGTAAAAAGAAAGGGTATAAAAATGTAGATGACTGAAGCAATATGTGTGCAGAGGAATAATAATCTACTATGAACTAAAATATGCAAGTATTGGGGACTAAATTGCTTTTACTACTCTACACATTTTTTTAAAGTACCTAGAGGCCTTCAGGTATGAGTGCTAAAATAAAAATATTATTATTATGGATTTTGGGGGGCAGATGAGTTGAAAACTCAAGGATGTCCCCTGTGCCTTACCTCTATTTCATGTGGTTAAATGCATTGGGCCAAATTTATCCCTAGTCTGCTATATTTACTGTTAAAAGCACTTTAGAAAAGTGCATATTAAAACTATATCTAAAGAAGCACTGGATCCTGAACAGGCATTGAAAGCAAAGCTATAAAATCAAAAGATGTTCTCTCAGGTCAATTTAGTTTTGGGTGAGGGGAGTGTTTGCGCAGCCACATCGGTCCAGTGAACCTGAAACAGCAGTGTGTGAAAAATATGGTGGTGAAATAATGTCTCCATGTGGGAGAAATGCTAATGCTGGTTATTGGCTATGCTGCTTCTTGGATTTTACTCATGGATTTTATTCTAATATTTTCACTGACTATTATTCTACCCCAGTGACCACCAGGGTACTTTGCTCCCTGTTTTGCAGCAAAATTTGAGACCAAAATTTTTGCTTTGTTATGAAGTTAACGTAAGAAAATTCTCCATAGAATCGTGGAATTGTTTAGGTTGGAAAAGAACTTTGAGGTCATCGAGCCCAACTGTTAACCTAGCACTGCCAAGTCCAGCACTAAACCATGTCCCTCAGTGCTATATCTATGCATCTTTGAAATACCCCTCGGGAGGGTGACTGAACCACTTCCCTGGGCAGCCTGTTCCAGTCCTTGACAACTCTTTCTGTGAAGAATTTTTTCCTAAAATCCAATCTAAACCTCCCCCTAATATGCAATCTAAACCTAAACTTGGGAGACCAACCCCCACCTCACTATAGCCTCCTTTCTGCTAGCTGTAGAGACCAATAAGGTCTTCCCTGGGCCTCCTCTTCCTCCAGACTAAACAACCCCAGTTCCCTCAGCTGCTCCTCATCATTCTTGTGCTCCAGACCCTTCACCAGCTTTGTTGCCCTTCTCTGGACCCGCTCCAGCACCTCAATGTCTCTCTCATAGTGAGGGGCCCAGAACTGAGCACAGGATTCAAGGTGCAGCTTCACCAGTGCCAAGCACAGGGAGACGATCTCTTCCCCGCTCCTGCTGATACCAACCGCACTGTTGCTGATACAGGTCAGGATGCCACTGGCCTTCTTGGCTGCCTGGGCACAAGCTGGCTCATGTTCAGCTCTGTCAATCAGCATCCCCAGGTCCTTTTCCTCTGGGCAGCTTTTCAGCCACTCTTCCCTAAGCCTGGAGCTTTGCGTGGGGCTGTTGTGACCCAAGTGCAGGGCCCAGCACTGAGCCTTGTTGAACCGCATATAATTGGCCTCTGCCCATTGATCCAGCCTGTCCAGATCCCTCTGTAGAACCTTGCAACCCACAAGCAGATCAAATTCTGCCCAACTTGGTGTCATCTGCAAATTTACTGAGAGTGCACTTGATTATTGATAAAGATATTAAACAGATACTGATACAGATATTAAACAGAACTCGTCCCAGTACTGAACTCTAGGGAGCACCACTTGTGGCTGGCTGGCAACTGGATTTAATTCCATTCACAGCCTCTGTTTGGGCTTGGCAATCCAGGCAGCTTTTTACCCAGCAAAGAGTAGACCCGTCCAAGACATGAGCAGGAGAAAGCTGTGGGAAATGGTGTCAAAGGCTTTACTAAAGTCTAGGTAGACAATACCTGCAGCCTTTCCCTCATTCACTAAGTGGATCACCTTATCATAGAAGGAGATCAGGTTAGTCAGGCAGGACCTGCCTTTCATGAACCCATGCTGAGAGGGCCTGATCACCTGGTTGTCCTGTAGGTGCCATGTGATGGCACACTTGTACATGTCTGAGTGGTTCTTTTATATGGGGGGGCTTGGCCACCATTAGTCCAGGCCCTGACCAGGTCCTGTTAGCTGCGATTGTGTAAACTGCAGGCTCCTGGTAACTCTCTCATCCTCCCCTAAGGTTCCCTTGGTTCAGGGATCCCCCTCTGTGCACCATGCTAGAACGCTCTCCTGCAGTTCCTGCCAGCACCAGAGTCGTTCTCATGCTTGTGTGCCCATGTGCAGCAGCCTGCAAAGCAGTCATGGTTTTCATACTGACTATGAAGGAGATGGGACTGAGCCTTGGAAGATGACACCAGGACTGCAGTGACTGATGAGCTTCCAGTCCAAGAGGCACCCAGAGCACACATATAGCAGCAAGTGTGTTTTACTACTGTAGCTGCTACAACTGGCTTGGGCAAACTATTGTAATGAGGACAGCAGTGCTGCTGGGGCACAGCTGCTAGCAATGTCAAGTGCCAAACAGCCCAGGTCTATGATTTCATGTCTGTTTTAGGTTCATCTGCCATTTGCTTCAGAAGATTGGGCCCTTCAGAAAGAACCTGTGTGACTTTAAGGAGGTGCAGCAAATATTCAGGAAAGGAGGCGAAGAACTCAGTTTTCTATCTTTTTTTTTACCCATAGTCAAGCTATTTTCACAGGGTTTGATAAGTCCCATGTTCAAACCAGACAGTTAAATCTTGTGTAAAGAAGCTGATGTTCTCCATAGCCTTATTTCTTGAACAGCTGTTTACCTGCAGACTCCTGGTCCTGCTGCATTGCCATCCTTCCTCAGGTCATACCCAGAGCCTTACATGGCAGGGCTACAGACACAAAAAAGCCGTGATGGCTGACAAGCAGGGTCACATTTTGAAGAAGGACAACGAATTATCTTGGAAGGCTATGAAATGGCTCCCAAAAGAAGGGAAAAGCTACAGGTAATGGGATGGGGAGAGGGCGCTTGTTTGCTTGTACCCATGTTTGTTATTATTCCACAGCAGTGCATTACAGGAGAGTGGCTGAGTGGGTGATACTGAGGCTTTATAATGTGTATTATAATTATAATGTGAGGCATCTTGTGTATTTTTGCAAGCATGTTTTCAACTTGTCGTTGCAGAACCTGGTATGGCCTCATGTGCAAAGTCCCAGTTTATGAGAGAAGGAGGAAAGGCCTTGCACCAGCGAGTGACCAAGCTCAAAGCACTTGAGGTGATTTTGCTTGCATCTACAAACCAGAATTGCACCCAAATCAGTTAATTCCCATTGCCACAGCTGCAATTCAAAGTTTTAATCCTACAGACCACTCAGTTTGGCTGATAGAAAGGAGCTGGCGCACTGGCGTTCATTGTGGCACTTAGTGCTTGTGCAAGCATTTTCTTTAGCATGAAGAGCTGCACAGTGCAGCAGAAACCTTCCTACCTACAGGGAAGAGGATATGGTGTAGGGGTGAGTCTGAAATCAACACTGCTGAGTACCCAGGGAGGGAGGTGATCACCATGATGAAGTTAGAGCAAAGAACTTGATAAGAGACAGAACTAGTCCATGGCAGGCAGAAGAATTGGAAGAGGTCGTGCTCCCAGCCTTTTTGCTCCCTGAAAAAGCATGAAGCCTCACACAGCCACCTTGATGATGCTTCCTATTTTTGTCCGCTTTAATCCAATGCTGCAAAGAAGGAGAGGCAGTCTTGGCTCACCCTGGTTCGCATCTCTGCTGTAGTAAGACCTGTGTGTATGAGAGCTAAAAACTGTAGGGAGTTAACAAGGGTGCATATACAAAAAGGTACCTATTTTTCCTGGGTTCTCTGGGGTGCACTGGCATGTAGTACTTGTCTTTTGCCTTTTATTTCTGGTAGTCAAAAATGTCCCTATTGGTTGCCATGCAAGCAGCTTATACTTCATACAGCTTGGTCTTGGTATCCTGAACCTTTCTGTGGAGAGAGGCTCCTGACCCCAGTGCAGAGGCTGTGTTTTTATCGTCAAAACCACTTCAGTGTGCAAAGGACGTGAGGGAAAGCTCAATTTTCTGTTTCCTTTAAAGCACAGGGATCACTCAGGCTAAAAGGATTGTGGTGTTTCCAGAAGCACGCAGACATTTTCAGGATGGCTACTATGCCTTCTGGGAGGTTTGAGCCCTGTGGATGATGCCCTGCTGCGCTGCTTCAATGGGAGGTACTTGCCAGTAGTCAGTTTGCTCCTAGTGAGATCAAGGCAGAGCTGCCACTGATTTTTGAGGCTGTGTGGCTGCAGGTGTGCAAATCATTCCTAGGGATCATGCCTCTTTTTTTTTTTTTTTGTTACAAGTGTGAAAATAAAACTATCCTCTCAGAAAGCAAATTTAAGCCCCCCTTATTCTTCAAGCCAGGCAAACTCTTTCCTTATCATATACTTCATTTAATCACAAAAGTATGCTATTTCCAGAACAGAGTAGCTGGGGTCAGGGGAGTGGGGCTGTCTGAATTTTGCCTGTGTAACAATGCAGTTTTGTTAAAACTATGAATCAAGCAGTTGGAATGAGAGAAGAAAAGTTTCCATTCAAAGTTCAGTGACACAAAAAGAGCAACTCTCTGTCAGCTCAGGACCTGATCATTACTTTGTCCCAGAAGTGAGGAAAGGCAGACTGAGAGCAGACCCAGTTTGGAACCTGGCCTCACCTACAGAGCAGTGCCACACTGAGTGGTGGGAGGAAAGAGCAGACTGAAATGCTTCCCATACTGAGGATAGCCAGAACATGGAAGGGCAGGGCAGCTCAAGTCAGAAAGGCTCAGAGATGCCATGCTCTGAAGGGGCTTCACAGAGGAGTCTCAAAGCAAAACCTGCAAATGGTTTTGGGGAACCTACTGCCTGTCCAGGGCATCAGGAGCTCATGTCTAGGCTCAAAAGCTCTTTCCCTTTGATCACTCCTATCTCCTGGGAGATAGATGCAAGAAAGAGAAGAAAAAACAGCACCACCTCGTTTTTGCCCATCGCCTTTGTTTCAGATGGTAAGTTTTGCTGCCTTCCTTGTTGAAGTGCCCAGGCTGCCCTCCTGGGTCATGGCAGCCACCAGCTAAAGGGGAGCATGATGGGCTGACTGGATCAGGGAGTGTGCTTGCAGGAGAGAGCAAAAGTTTGCATTTGTGAGAGCAAAGTGAAGAAGCATGAGATTGGAGAACACTGGGTGCTGCCATATAAGCACCATAGCCCTAAGTCTGATGGATAATAGAGTCATTAATTCTCCTGATTAACTTGGCCTTGGGGTTCATGGAAATGACATCCACCTCCTTTCTTTTTTTCTTTCTTCTTTCTTTCTTTTTTTTTTTAAGCTCAAACTGTGGAACGAGAGAGCATAAAAAAACCAAGCTAATTAGAGAGAAATCAGGAGAAAAGAAGTAGGGAGAAAAGAGAGACAGTCTGAGCATTAATGAGACTGATTTGGGAAGAGGATGTGACAAGCTCTTCAAAAGCATTATTGTCAAATGTGTCACTGTTTCATAGATGGCTAGCGCTACCTTTGAGCTTCACGCTGATAGTTAATGATTTGAAACTATAAAAAGATTGAAAAGGTAAAAGGGAAAATGGCAGACTCGACTGGATTTTAATGAGAGCCCCCTCTCCCCCCTTTTTCCATGTGAGGCAGCCTTGGAAAGTACAGAAAAAGTTCACTTTCCCTCTGCCCGCATACTCTCTCAAGGCAAAAATTGTTTACAAAGGAGAAGGGAGAGTGCAGAGGTCCATCTGTCTTGCTCCGACCACCACCCATCTCCCCTTCACCAAACCATCAGCTCCCCCATCTGCTGTCAAGTGCTGGTGGGGTTGTGGCTGTACAGGCAGAGGGTTGACAAAAATAAGCTGAGATTGATGGAAGAGACAGCTATAGCTCTTGTTTGTTTTTTTGTGACGTGCTGAGCAGAAGCAGTCTTCACACTGGGAAATGTAACAAAGAAATCTAAAGTGATTACACAGGTTCATTTGTCAGTATCACTGCTCCAGCTATTGCTGTGTACAACAATGAGATGACAAGGCATTTATTGCTGATGGTTGGTTATTAGCTGCATTATAGGAAACATTAGCACAGTCTAGGATACATAGACCAGGGAGACAATAGCTTTCTGGGCTCCAAACTCAGCAGGGTAGCCTTGTCATTAAATTTGGTAGTACCAATTTAATTTTTTTTAAATAAATTGAAAGGGAACTTTGAAAACTAAATCTGTAACCCTGCATTTACCTTAAGACTGATCAGTGTGTTTTCTTTGGATGCTACATCTTTTATCAGAAAAGCTACACAGCCCAGCAGGCCACCACGTCCACAAAGATGCATCAGAAAAGCCTGATACATGGGCTCCTGGCAGATCCTATTGTTGCCTTCTAGCACTGACTTCCACAGTATGCTTGCTGCCACTGGGATGGACCATGTTCTTCTCAACTAAGTTGCGTGTGAATATACAAGAAGAAAAGGCAAGAGGCATATGCAATGTTTTGTCATGATCTTTGTCCTGCTTTTCTTATTTTTCTCAGACCCACTCATTTTTTCCTTGTCTTTCCTGAGTCCTTTAGGGTCAGATCTTGGTAGCTCTCTCATCATTGCGAATGGCCCTGTAGAAGTCACTGGAAGTATTTGACAGCAAGGGCTAAGTGGGGAAAGTAAAGGTTTGGCATCCCTGGGACGTGACTGGATGACTGCCATGTTTATTAAGCTGTGAAAGAACATGCCTCTCCTAGGGCAAAAGCTGTATTTGCACAGCGGTGCAAAGCCAACCCTCAGTTCTCGGGTGAAACGACTACTTTTTTGCAGCCTTTCAGTTCTGAGTTTTGCAGTAAAAACAGAAAATCTGGTGGTGGCTCCTTCTTTTCAAAGAAGGTTTTTATTATATAATGCGTTTTCGCATTAACTCCGTCAGTGAGCAATATATTCCTGCTTCATTTTTTCTGACACTCAGCTTCAGTTTATTTTGTGCTACCATCAGATTTTCAGAATGCCCCATATTTTGGCACTGACAGCACTTAAATAAACTGTAACAGTTGTCCTGGGAAAGTTGGAGGTTTTGACAGCTGCATGAGGGATCATGGGACTTCAGCCCATAAAATACCAGTGTAACGGGAATTACAGTGTTTTAAGAACCACTATCACTTGATAACATTGTAAATAGCAACAGGAGCTGGTTTTGAACAGATTCAGGCCCCAACCAACTCTCTTTGAATCTAAAAATTAAATTTAGCTGGAATCTTTTCACCATCAAATAGGATCTTTTTTTTTTTTTCTTTTCATGTTATGAAATTTGTCATATTCTTTGCCCTATATGCTGTCTGCCTAGTGGTGAATTTAAACTGAACTGTTTGTTTTGGATTCATCAACAATAGTGTTAACTTGATCCAGATTCAGAAAACTCAGACCCTTAAGACCCAGGTTGTAAATTACTTAGCATTTCTGAGGTTAAAACCAAATAACACTAGTTTTCTTTTTAAACTGCACTTACAAAATGTGTGTGAGAAAATTAGTAGTGTCAGCTCTTTTACATTAAGTGAGCAAGGTGATTTTGCCCTCCACTAGACACACTCTAAGCCATATCATCTGCCTCTGCTCAGTGATTAATTTTGCCCTGAACTACCAAACCAATACTGTTTCCACCAGTTTCTACATCCCTGTGCCCTTCCGTCATTATTTCTGTTCTTCTATTAATTTTTTCTTAACTTTCAACTTCTTGCTGAAATCTTGTGATTTCGGTGAAAGCAGAAAACTAAGGGAGCTGATAGCACTGTGAATCACTCCAGTTTTAATTGAAGAATGTGTGCCTCCTGAGGTAGGGTCCCTTGAAACAAATATCCCCCATAAGATGGACGCCTGTGATCCAGCTTCTAGATGAAGATCTTTTGTAAAAAAAATAGAGCAAAGGATTTAATTCAATAATAAACCATCATAAAAATAATATTAATAAACTTTAAAAATAGTAATAAAAAAATCATACCACTCCACCCCTGAGAGGTTTTGAGAGGGTGGCTGACAGGTCTAAATCTATGGTGGCAATTCAGAACCAAATAAGGATGAGGTATCTCTTGAGGCCATAGGGCTTGAAACTTGTCATAGAAGAGGCATCTCAACTCTCAGAAAAGAAAGCAATCTCTATTTGAGAACATATGAGCATTTCTGACAAGTAGGGTCCAATGAATCAGCATTTCAGCTAGTGAGTTAATGCAGCATTTGGCAGTTAAGATAAAAAAAAAAGGGAAAAATAA